AATGGCAGACCCTGCGCTCTGACCCCAAGCTTCCCTCCCTGTCTGTGTGTCTGTGTCTCCATGGAGAAAAGCTGGGGTATGCGAAAAGACGAATTCCTAATGCAAGAAATTGTATAGGGCTAATAAAGAAACATTTCATTACATTACGGGGTGTGTGAGCTGGCCTTGGTGCAGCACTGTGCTGTAGCTCTCGAGGGTCATCGGTGTTCAGCAGCATACTCTTCCTCATGGGCATCCCTCTTGAGGACCTCTGCCCACGCGCTCGGCTATTAACACACCGACGAGCTAATCACGCCAAGACCTGTAACTGTCTGAATTCCCTCTCACCGTTACGGTGCTGGTCCTTTAGGTGGGACAAACGTACCACATAATTGATGAAGGTAAAGATTCGAAGCATTTCCTTGCTCTGGCTCCCAGTCTGAATTCTCTGCTTCTCGATTAGGAAATGTCTTGCGCAGCACCTGGTCTCTGCCAGTCTGATATGATGGATGTTGAGTTTTCTGGCTTTAAGGACTGAGGAGGGCAGTCATGCGCTTCTTAAAATTTATGTTTTCATTCCTTTCTAGAATATTATTTAAGGACAAGGACAGGAACTGGGATGAAATAGAGAACAAGTTGCGGGCCGAGAGCGATATGCCTCTTCTTAAAACTTCAAACAAGGTGAGAAAAACAAATTGTTTGTACTTGTGATGTACATGATGTCACAGAGCTCAGCGTTCATTCATTCATTCAGCAGGAACTCAACAGATTTGATTTATTGGGATAGCCATTTGGAGCAACCACTTTCAAGTCCAGAATAACGCTGGTTTTGATTTTGCTTGTACTTTTCTTTGAATTTTTTTAGATCGGATGTCAAGGTTCATGTCATGTCAGCCACATAGCTTAACCGCGACTGACTCAGCCCTCTTCAGTTTCCTCCGGAGGTCCGTCTTTACCAGATTGCTGAGATGATTGAGAAGCAATGTCAGACATCTTGGTTCTGTAGCCACTAAAAGCCCCGTAAAATGATGCAAAGTGATGCCCTCATCTCTCTCCCTCAGCAAGATTCCTTTGCTGATTTGTCTCTTTTATAATGATATAAAATGACAAACACACAGTCACCACAATACTCTTGGCTGCCCACTTCTGAATCCTGAATAATTAATATTTTTTTAGACGCAGTGGTTCAGTGGTAAGGGCTGAGATAGAAAAGATCAGTTTTAACTTACCTAACAGGACCTATCGTCAACTTCGGTGTACGGATTCCTGGCTGAGATTATCCTGTGGCTGGCTGACACAGCTGGAAAACTCTTTAGTGGGATGGGAAAGTGTGAGCAGGCTACTGCAAAGTGCAGTGTATCTGTGTCACAGCTCGTTCTTGTAGCTACTCCTCTGACAGCCCTTCCTATTACAAGACAGCAGGCGATTCAGTCCTCTGCTAAGCCCTAATTTGGTAAGGGCTGTAGAATGAGACTGTCTTGCTCAGAGACAGTGCGTACATCTCAGATAGAAACCGGGAGCTCATCAGTGACCACTCATCAGCAAACTGGCCTCGAGTGACCCACCCCTCCTATAGAACTACCAGATGTTGCTTAATCAATTAGAAATTGTCATTTGGCACTTGGCAAAAATGCAAAAACAGAATGAGTATCTACTATATGTATGTATTTGTTCATTCACTCTCTGGAATGAAAACTCTTTTATTCTGTGGGAAACAGCTGGTGTTGACACACTACTAAAACCACATTGCTCTACTAGTTTATTTGTCCTCACAAATCTCAGTCTGTGACAAGACAGCAGCTAAGATCACCTGCAAACAATAGTTCCTTCAACACAATATCCTTCATCAGAAGAGTTGGGAGTACCTCTGTTTTCCTCCAGCGCCTTTTTCAGAATCAGAAACCACCCTCTGTTTTAACAGTTGTAGCCCTCGGCTTTGGAAGTGTGCATGATCAGTTCTCCCAGCTCACTGGCCCTCATCCCGCAGCCCTGCAGCAGCCAGACAGAGCGGCGGTCTTGGGCGCGTGCATCCTCAGACAAACAGCAGTTATCGCTTTCACTGCCATCAGGAAAATTTGCTTCTAATCGCACCGTCACTATAGTCTTCTGTGTCAGAAAACAAACTTTCATCAGGCATCAAACTTTTATTTTGCATTGCTGCTGTGCGATGTGACTGGATGATGAATTGACTACGTATTGATTGTGCTCCACCCTGGAGCTGCAAGACCCCAGGCAGGTCATGGCAAGATGCTATTCATGTGACTTGAGGACACATTACTCATCTTACGGCAAGATAATGAATGTTCCACTCAGACCAAGAGCAGCTGATGAATCTGCTGTAACAGCTCTCGCTTGGGAAGCAGGAGGGAGCCTCTGATTTCAAATAAATAGGCATTAAGTAAGCAGTGTGTGACACAGCTTTTCAGATTCTCAGCTTCACACAATCCCTTGGTGACTTTCTGCTCCTATCAAGGCCATTTAAAGATGATGGGTAACAACAGCAGAGCGTTAGGGGATTGCTTTAAAGAGGAAGATGGATAACCTGTCACTGCTTATACCAACCTTGCATTTGATGATGAACACAGATTAAAGCAAAAGAACATTGCCTTCTGCTTCTCTGCAGGAAGCAGTAAATTTCTCCTTGATGGTGTAAAATCGGGTGCCTGAAACCTTTTCCTTTCAGTTTTTAACCCTGTTAGACAAGCAGTGGACCTCCAGTATCTTGTCATGTTGACATCATATGAAGATAGTCTGAGGTCAAGTGACTAGTGCAGCACAGCCACACATTGCTGTGTCACCACAGCAGAGCTGGAGGTGCTCTACCTGGGAACCTGTATCTGCTCTACATGGGGAAACTGTATCTGCTCTAAAGCAGAGCTCCAGGTGCTTTACATGGGAAACTGTATCTGCTGTACAGCAGAGCTGCAGGTGCTCTACATGGGGAAACGTTATCTATCCTAAAGCAGATCAAGACCAAGAAAGAAGATCGAACATTTCTAATCAGATGAAAAATAATAAATGATGTTTAAAATCTTTTGAAATTGTTTGCTTATTTTAAAAGTTTAAGGTTTAAAAGTACAGTACAGAGTCATTTTGGGTTGACAGGGATAATAGCCCAACAAAATGTTGTGCTTTTATGCACCTGCCACCTTGCGCCATCCACCCCACATGTATAACAAGTGATCAATTTGAGAGGCGCAGGCTGTATTTGCAGGGTTGTGCTCACAGTGTGCTTCTGTGGCATTACCTGGGCTGAGTGTGGTATTTTTATTCACACTAGAAAATAAAACTAGTTGCTTTCAAATTCTGTTTATATAAATTAACAGTCCTCATTTTAAATGACACTGGAGAACATGAATTAAATTAGGCCCCCTGGCAAAAGTGTCAAACAGGAATCTCTTAATCAATAACTTGTGGCCAATCATCTCCTATTTTGTAATTATTTCCTGTTTTTCTCTGCGCCTCGTGCCGTGCAGGAGATCTCATCAATCCTGCAGGAGCTGAAGAGGGTGGAAAAGCAGCTGCAAGGTAAGAGCATGAACGTCAGTGTCCAGCTGGGCTTCCTGACCCCGCAGCCCTGCCAAGGCGTCTCTCGGCGACACAGTCCACGGAGCTCAGAGCAATCTGCTGAGTATCGGGGACTGTGGCCCAGCTGTGCGCTGGGTTAGCAGGTTCAGTCACTGTGCAGCCCACGTCCTTCCCACTGGAAATACATACTGTGTAAATGTGTACAGGCAGCTCTGTCCCGCAGTCCATTCCCGGGGTGCTCTCTGTGTGGAGTTCGTATGTTCTCCCCTTATTCCTGTGGGTTTCCTCTGGGTGCTCTAGTTTCCTCCCACACTCCCAAGACATGCTTGTGGGTTCATTGGCTTCTGGGAGAATTGGCCCTGGTGTGAGTGTGTGCCCTGAGATGGACTGGCGTCCCCCCCATAGCTGAATTGGATAAAGTGGTTAGAAAATGGATGGATAAATGTGTACTAGGTGTGTCTGTTTCAGTTGATGCTGAACTGTAGTGTCAAGCAAAAGTAGCTCTTTGATTGTATGCAGACACCGCAGACCGGCAGTATGTTGTGATTCTGAGGCAGGAGTCCCAGGCTGCTGGACACTGCAGTGTGGGTTTACTGTGGGTCACTGAGCGGAAGAAATGAGTGCCTGAGATTTAAGAGCGGTCACCTTGAAAAGTTCATTTCTTCCCATTATTCTGTCTCTGAAAGTCATCAACGTGATGGTGGATCCCAACGGCACCCTGGACGCGCTGAGCAGCCTGGGCCTGACCAGCCCCGTTCTGGCCAAGCCGGGTCCCCGGGCGTCCGGCAGCAGGGCCCCGCAGGTCTCGGGCTCCTCGGAGCAGGAGAGCATGGAGTCGGAGCGGGACTTCAGCCTCCACTTCAACCGCTTCAACCCCAGTGGGGAGGAGGAGAGCTCCGTCGTGCAGGAGTGACGCGTCTCCGCCGTCCTGCAGGCGAGCCGCTGGAGTGCCCGTCCTCTTCTGTCCTTCATATACCAACGTGTCATTTTCCCTTCCCTTCTTCTCGACTCCTGACCAGAGGCTACTTCCGTCTCCATTCGCATCCTCTCACCCAGACGCATAAACCGCCAAGAGGGCTCCTGTTTTTGTCTTTCCCGAGAACGAAATGCACGAGTCCTCTGTGACTCTGGCTCTCACCTCGTTCAGACGGGGAGGAAGTACTTCAGACCCCTCGAGGACCACCAGGGCACGACCGGTCTGTGATCTAAATGACTGGACAGCAGACGCCAGCAGGCTTGGCCCCGTCGCGCACGGCCAGATGCTCTGCTCCGGCCCCGGGGCCAGACCCCTGCACTCGGCCGCTGCGCGCCACGAGATCGCTCTCCTGAGGCTGGTCCAGCTTGCGCAATGCGTGCAGATGAGTTCCGCTCTGCCCCGTTCGACGGGACTGTGAGTTTGTTTTTACGCCACCTAGCTCACGGAGAGGGAGAGGAAGCCCCTGCCGATGGGGCCGATGCGGGAACGCGGCCGAGCTCTCGGGCCCCGACGCCATCTCCACCGGCAGACTCGTCTCCTCGCTCTTCCTGCGGGAGAGGAGCACAGGTCTGTCTGCTGCTCTTCAGTTAACCTGCTGTTGGAGCTAGTCAGTCTGCTCCACAGGGAAGGCATGGCACTGCTCATACGTCAGCTGGGCGCAGTGGAACAGCCCCACTGGCACAGGGATCTGCAGCAGATCAACCATCTGCATGGGACCAGCCGTCTCTGTCCCCGCCCGGGCCTGGCACGCTGGCCTGTTGAGAACAGGGTCACGCTTGTTAAGTGTAGAGAAGTACAAACAGTAGAGTTGTAGCATTTATGAAAAAAACATTACTTTCATAAAATAAAATGTAAAAACTCTTAACATTTGCAGTTTTATTACTTGCATTTACTTCATGACTTGATTTACGGTGGCTATACAACAGGCCCAGCGCTGTGAGGTAAATGTGCGATTTAATCTACTGCCTGATTTTGTACAAGACAAATTTTCTGAATTTACCTGGAAGAGCTTTGTGCTGTTGTGAGAGCTAATATGTTGACTTTAAGTGGGTCTTGCCTTTTTAAAAGGCTCTGAAGAAAATAAATGACAAAAATGAAAACAAATTTGTTCACCCATAAGCAAAGTAAATGGATTTTCAATCTGTTTAGATCTGTTTATTGAGCAGATTGGCTGCTTGTTTAAAGAAATATCTGAAGATAAGTGTAAAATTACATTGTACATGTTTTTTTGTCTATCTGTTCCTTTTTCTTGTTTTTATTTTTTGAAACTGGAAAGAATGCTTTATACCATCAGTGCAGTGTGATTAATATGTTTACTTCAGACAGAAGTGCTGGATTGCAGTCTAGGGCCTCCTGGTCAGACACAGCACTTCTGTCTATGATGAGTTTCTGGTTCTCAGATTCTGTGTGCGAATATGGCCAGACTGGACCTGGGTGCCAAGGGTGCCAGATAACAGAAGGGTTTTCTATCACTTTCTGTGCACAACAGCACAGCTTTCAGACAAAGGCTTAACGGAGTATGAACCGTGGATCTGTCCCAGCCGTCGAGACTGCATGCCGTCGGTCGAACCAAAGTCTGCTGGAGCCATGCTGTGTAGTGCATTATTCTGCGATTGTTAAGGAAAATGTTAAAACTCTGCAGCTATTCCTGCCTTGCTTGTCTGTTAAAACAAATTTCCTGCTTTCTGACAGGAGCCTCTCTAATGTAAATGAAGTCCTCCTGAACACAAGAGATTTTGCTGCTTTCTTTTCTTTACATGAACATTTTCATAATCTGATTTTTCAGGCCTTTCATTGTGTAGCCATGTGCAGTAGAAAATAAAATTCAAGATAGCTCTTCTGTTTTAGAGATTTAAGCAATAGTAAAATAGGTACCAGAAAAAAGAGATGCAGTTTCTTTCTGTTTGGTATAATAGTGTATAATGTCACTAAGTGCCCGGTATTAAATCGGATACAGGAAAAATGAGAAACCTGCAAGGAATGAATCCACAGTGGGGAAGAACATCTTTCATTTTGCACATTTTACCCTGACTGTGATCCTTCTGTTCTTGGGCGTTCCTGAGATGTGAAAGTTTCAGAGGCTTTCAAGACTTAAAAAGATGAAGTACAAGGAAAAATAAAACCAAAACTGAACCTAAGCATGCTCCTGTCCTGGGCATGACGCGATGCCTCATGGTGTTCCAGTGTGCCAGGACCAGGACATGATAAGGACACAGATAACAGCGAAGTGTTCGGTACTCTTTTAAAAGTTGTTCAGATTGTTTACATGTTTGTTCTTATCAGTGTTTTGATTTTTTTATTTTTTGTTTTGCAAGAACACTATTATTTATTTTTGTTATTTCATGCGTTATGTCATTTTTGTTATATTTCATGTATTTACGTTATTTTTATTTGCATTTACTCATTTTTAATAAAACCCGTCCCTGGAGAGACCTGGTTTGTCTTTTGCTTTTTTCCTGATGAATGAAACTGCATTTGAGCTCAGAGACGGTATCTCCTGGTGTCATAAATATTTATGAAGAAAGATGTACTGAAGCTGAGTGAACATGGTTTTAAGTGTTTCTTTAAAGACGTTAAATTCTATAAGAAATTAAAAGCCAAGATAAAAAATTGTCTTAATGGCAGGGCCTCAGCAATCATTTAAAGTTTTCTTAATGCGTTTATTTATGGTTTTACATTTTCTAATTTTTTCTGGTCAGTTACATAAGGATTGTAAATTTAATTTAAATATTTTGAAAAATGTTTACAATTATCAGTCAGCGTAGATACATTGTCCAGACAATTTTTTATCGAAATCTTTTAAATGAAGATTTTCACTCGCTTAAATCGACAAGAATACCTCTATTCTTCTCACTCTCTGAAAGACCCATTCTCTGTGCTCAGATGTGCTCTCTTGCCCTCATGATGAGGGGTGATATTTACAGCTACTCGAGTCGAAATTCTTAATTAAATTTCTACCTGGTTTGAGCTGAAAATCTGTAGTCAGGTAAAGAAGAAAATATTTGTGTCATCTTGAAATGTGCCTCAGCAGGCTGGCAAGAAATCTCTTTCAGCTCTCCTGGATGGAAGGAAACATGGAACCCAGAAAAAAATCACAGCTGTCTTAAAAAAAACAGGATTCTGTAACGTTTTCAGCTGTGTGTACTTATTTAGTATGCTAAGAGTCTGGTGAGCACTTTGGCGGTCCTTTTGGAAGCAAAGGGACATGAGGATTGCCAGAGACTGGAGCTGTGAAAATATGCCTAGCTTGTGCTTACTAATGTTTCTGCAGGACAGTTTCCTAATGACCCATGGTAATATTAGGAAATAAAAATGTTCTTCCAATGTCTCCCGATGTTTCAGACCATGTTAATCAGAGGATTAATCCACCCGAGCATCTGAAATTAAAAAAGCTCTCATTAGTCCTGCCGACTGCCAACGGAACACAAACACTTCTTGAACAATGGCTGACTCTTGCCAGAGCTGTTATCTCTCCTGCTCCTGTCTGTGCTGTGCTTGGATGAACCCAAAGCCCTTTGGGTTCCTACAACTGTGTTCCAGTTAGCGCACTTTACGGCCCTGTTAAATTAAATTTAAATTTAAATTGTGTTTTAGCGCCTGGCTAACATGTAACCTTCATCCTGCAGAGAATTAAATCTTCTGTACAGTACGTCACAGCAGCACAGAAGGGAGCTGAGAGGGCTTGGAGTATTGTTCATGTAGATTATTTTAATAGCTGGAGTAAGCGTGACTTCTGAAGCGCTGTGAACCTCATTTTTTGCCTTAAGGACCTGCCATCAGTGTTAAGTAAGGAACTCAATTAAGACAGCGATGCAACACTTAAAGATTCAATCAAGCAAAGGCTTTAAGTGAATGACAAAATCATCATCTGATTGAGTGAAAGTGCATTTAAACCCAATAACGACCAAAGGGTGGTGAGAGTGTGGAACAAGACTCCCAGGCAGGTTATGCCAGGTCGATACTCAGACTTCGTTAGGAAACTGCTGGACGAGATCTTTGAATCAATTAGCTACTAATGACAAGCAGGCTGGATAGGCTGAATGGCTCCTCTCATTAGTGACAGTTAAGACTTGGCTTTGTCCTTTTTCCGCATCACCATTCATTTCAGTTAATTCTGGCTGCTGCATCTGATCTTGAGTTTGATAATGTTTTATAGTCTTAAATAAAAGAACTTTACAATAGAAGCTGAGAACACAAGTAATTCTTATAGCATACTTAGTGAATAAACCAAGAGGAAATGATGTTCACATTAAAAGCTGCAGTACAGATAGATGAACCGAACTGTTCTCTCAAGATGAGTGATTCCACAGAAAAACAGTAGGCAGGGGGCTGATCCTTCCTTCAGGTTGTGCTAGTCACAGGGCTCCGAATCCAGTGCTAATTGGTTGATTCGTGTTTTTTAATATTAATTAAGGTACAATTAGATGCATGTCATTGTTTAACAAAATTAGCCAGCAGCCATATCACCCTGCAACTCAAAACTGGCAGACTACTGAAGCTCAGCAGGTGTGAGCCCTCCTGGGAAAAA